TCTATTTTCCAGTTACTGAATTTCCTAAAGATGTTGCTGAAATAGAATGGGCTAAAACACTAAAGTTTTATTGTCATGACGAATACTCTTAAGTGCATTCTGATTCAGAGCAGGTTAGTCAGTTTCACATGATTGTAACCCCACAAGCTATGCAGAGGGTGTAGTTTCAGATTTGGTGACTTTTTTGAAGCACCCTCCCAATACCAGCCATTTTACTAGAGGATTTCCATAAACTACATTTTAATATATGTATTATAATACATATGCATTTGATTATCACACGAATTTGTGAGTTAGCTGACATTCTCTCCAGGGATATAATTCTGCTTTCTCCAGGTCATACTAGTAAAGCTAGTAATAATCTTAGCTACCATTTATTTAGCTCTTACCTGGTACTGGACCCTGTGCTAACACTTATGCCTACAATGTCTTATTTAATCCACACAGTAACCTTCTGAGGTAGATAGTTCTAAATCCAATTTCACAAATGAGGGATTTGTAGTCAAGAGGAGTGACGTAACTTCCTCAAGATTATGTGGCGAGGGAGTTTGGAGACCCTGTGCTTCTGAAGGTAGTAGGGCCAGAATTTCAGCCCAGTTCTCCCAGTGTCTCTTTCTCTCCCTTGTGATGTGGTGGTACATCAAAGCAGACAGATCTGCCTCAGGGGCCAGTTGTTGCTCGTACTTGACCTCGTGGTCTTAAGTGAGCTTTTGCGTGTGTTCCTGATGGTACAGTTCCCGCCAATGTGTAAAGCAGAGGAGTCATGGGGTGGTTCCTGGTGCCAGGTTACTAGAGGATAAAGAAGGACAGCATTAAGCAATGCAGTTGATTGTCCCTCTGCAGAAGGTATACTAGCAAGGACACATGGATGTGTCCACGGAGAGCTCCTACAGCCTGTTCTTTCTCTAGATCTCTCATGAAACATAAAGAAAGGAAAGCCAGCTAAAGAGTGAAAACTCACGGACACGGGTTTAAATGTCTCTTACTGACTGCGTTCATTCCCCTGTTCCAGAGGATCAGCTAGAATTTGATACGTGGGAAGGAGGATCAGGAAGTGAAAATCCAAGTAACATAAAACGATCAACCTACGGAAACTCCCTGAAACCAAGTATTGGGCACAGACTGTCCCGATAACAAGCGGCTGATTCTAAATGAGCCAGGCTCTTAGGGCAAAGACTTCCTTTGCTTCATAAGCCCCGGTGCTCAGCAAGTAGTGAGGACAGGCAGAGTGCAGTGTGTTTTGGCTTTTCCATTTGACCTTTCTAGAATCCTAATTAAGGATATTGCAAATTCTACATAAACAGTCCATTCTGCAGTTGGTTGCCAAAATATTTGCATCGTATGTGTATCATGTATCAAATTCTAGATCCAAACGGTGACCAATGGCTCTTGTAGACCAAGCTCCCAATTGGAATTAGTAATTTTTTTCTTCTATGAGCTTAAATAAATTAACTTTTAATCTTATTTATGGACTCTACCATATTCTGCCAATATATATTTGTGGAAGTGCTTGTTTACATATTTCTTTTAAAGTCTTTCTCTTGAAGCAGCTGCTTATTAAAATAAGTATGAAGAGTTGTTATTTTTTTTTACTGTCCTTTTGATACTGGTCTTTTGGTATCTTGAGAGCCTATGTACTTCATTTAGGAGCTTGACTCCAAGGAAAACTAAAAAGATAAAAGGAATTTTATGAACAGCATTGACGTGTCCCCAAAACTTAAGAGCAGTTGCTAAAAGTTCAGACTGGAATCCTATTTTAGTTTCCTCATGGTCTTCATTACCTGTCATTCATTTCACACACGGAAAGCATTGACTATCTTTCCCCCTCCCTCCCCGCTCCTTGTTTTTATGCAGAGAAGTGTGTTGTGAAAAGACCTTCACTGCTTTGTGCAGGAAGCTCATAAAATTGCATTAAAGAACCTGGCTCAGGACGAGCGGCTTCCCAGGCCCCATCTAAGTAGTGCCTGTGGTTGCACATACGCTGTTTTCTTCCCAACACTCAGACATTTCAGCTCCAGTCAAGATTCACATCATCTGACACTGGCAACTGCTCTCCCACCTTGAATTCTGTGGCTACCTGCATCATCTTGATTTTGATAGTTAGAAATGCTGGGTAGGAAAAGAAAGAATGCTGAGCAGCTTTGGGTACCACCTCTACTTTGGATTGGCCCTGTAACCCTGGGCAAGAACCCTGGCAGAGCGTGGTCTCGAGTCCCACCCAACACAGAAAGGGTGTAAAAGTATACCTGCTCAATGGGCTTGTGTGTTTCTGAGTGAGCAAATGGAGTGATGTGAGAAATGTGCTTCAAGCCTTTAGAACAAAATGGTAATAAAAATCTAGGTTTTGTGAAAGATAATTTGCTAACGTCGTTCTTTTGGGAGTGGATGCATGTTTGGTTGTATCGCTTGGGCCAAGCATCCTTTCACCTGTTTTGATTCTTTCTGTGACCTGTAATGAAACAGAACATTCCCGTAAGCAAACAGTTTGTATGCGTGCTTGTTTTACGGAGGAAATGGGAACGCTTGGCAGCAACCAGCTTTAGGTTAAAAATTTAATGGTTCCAGAGCCTTCAAAGATCAGAATGGACTCTCAAACTGAGAACTAGGACTTAAGCTACATATCTTCCCTCTTTTTATTTCTTTCCTTACTTCCTTGTGTTTGCCTTTATCTGCTCTCACTCATTTGTGACTACAAATTAAATGGCCCCTTTCCTAGCTTCTTTTATTGACCGTAAACAAATATTTTTCAGCCTTATTGAAGTATCATTGACAAAAACAATTTTAATATACTTAAAGTGTACAACAGGATGATTTCATTTACATATGGATTGTGAAAGGTTTCCCATCAAGTTAATTAACACATCCACAACCTCACATATTTATTTTATTTGATGAGAACACTTAAGTTCTACTCTCACCAAAATTTAATGAAGTCATACAGTATTATTAATTATAGTCACCATGTGTTACATTAGATCCTTAGATCTTATTCATCTTATAGAGAAAGTTCGTACCTTTTTACCAGCCTCTCCCTATTTCCCCACCCCCAGCCCCTAGCCACCACCATTTTATTCTCTGTTGTTGTTTTTTTTGAGTTCGACCTATTTTTTCTTAAGATTCTATCTATAAGTGATACCAGGCAGTATTAGTCTTTGTCTTTGGCTCAATTCTTTTAACATTAAAGTGCTTCATGTTTATCCATGTTGCTGCAAATAGCAGGATTTCCTTCTTTTTAAAGATTGAATAATAAACAAATATTTTTGAGTTCCTGTTTGTTAAGTGCCTAACTGGGCAGATTCTGGGGAAATGCTGTGAACAAGACAAGCCCCTTGTAGTCTTCCCTGATAGAGCTTACATTTGAAAGTTCACAGTCAAATAAACCTGTTTGGTTCTCCTTAAAAGTTTATGTAGTGGAGACCTACACCATGGCAAACTAAAAGGACAGGCTAGGGCAGTGATGGCGAACCTTTTGAGCTCGGCGTGTCAGCATTTTGAAAAATCCTAACTTAACTCTGGCGCCGTGTCACATATAGAAATTTTTTGATATTTGCAACCATAGTAAAACAAAGACATATTTTTGATATTTATTTTATATATTTAAATGCCATTTAACAAAGAAAAATCAACCAAAAAAATGAGTTCGCGTGTCATAGGTTCGCCATCACTGGGCTAGGGGTTTGAGGAAGGGGTGGTGCTTAGGGACCAAACAATAATTAGCAATTTGGATGTTAAATGAAATGTGCAACCCTCAAAGACAAAAACCTGGTAACTGTTAATTGCCAGTATTTCCATACGTTAGGGATATTCTGAGTAGCAATGTATTTTATAATACAAAAAGCTTCACATATTAAGGAAAAGGCTCATCTGATAAAGAAAACTGTTTTAATTATAGAATGCTTTTATTTTTTTTAATTTTTTTATTGCTTAAAGTATTACAAAGGGTATTACATATGTGTCCATTTCCCCCCCCCCTCTCCCTTGACAGTCCCCTAGCCTCCCCTATCCCTCAGTGTCTTATGTCCATTGGTTATGCGCATATGTATGCATACAAGTCCTTTGGTTGATTTCTTACCCCCCTCCCTCCTGCCCCCCAACCCAATCTAATTTTTAAAATTATCTCATCTAATTTGACATCATTTGTAGATGTTACCTGCAAAGAACCAAATTTATTAAACCAACCCTCCTCTTGCGACTATTTCATTTAGTATTTAAAAGCATTCTATAATTAATATATTATAATAATTAATAAATTTAATAAATTTGGTTCTTTGCAGGCAACATCTACAAATGATGTCAAATTAGATGAAATAATTTTAAAAATTAGATTAAATATTCATCCCAATTATATGCACTAGTATATAATTTATTATTTATTAATTACTGTGTTTTTTTTTGTTTTGTTTTCACACATTTTGCAAGGACATACTTTCTCATATACAGCCCAGAATTCCAAAAATTCCCAAGAGGTTGACTCTTACATAGTGAAACTCCAGTTTGTGAGTTTGACTCTACGTGAAGGAAGTCATTAACTTGTTAACAGCCATGTCTTCCACCGAAGTATGAAACCCCCCCCAAATTTTAGCGCCTTCTCATTCAATATTTGCCATGTTTCTTACCAGATTAGAGTATGACAGATGTGTCCAAATTTTTTATTATTTTATCTAGGTGAAAGGTAAATATCTATAATAATAAAAGCGTAATATGCTAATTAGACTGGACATCCTTCTAGATGACCTTCCAGACAAAGCTGGGGCTGCAAGGGAAGCCCAGGTCCCGGGTGCCAGAGGGAAGCCGGTGCTGGCAGCCAGGGGAAGGAAGGACTACTCTTGCATGAATTTCGTGCATCAGGCCTCTAGTAGTTTTAATAAAAAAAACTGTGCCCTTATATTGTTATTAAAGACATGTGTAATGCCTAGCCCTGCAGTTTTAGATGACCAGTTCTGCATTTTTTTTGTCATTTACATTTTACTTTTTTAGTAAAAATTATTTTTGTCTTACAGTTAATATCTCAATATCTAATGACACCACATTGGCTCCAGAGGAATTGCCAACTACTGACACGGTAAGTGACTTAAAATTCCGAGCCATTTGTACACTTGCAATTATTATTATTATTATGTTCATAATGTGATGTCTCCTGCAACTCAGCAAGCCTACACCAAGCACGCTTAACACTCAGTGATGGTAGAAGGACAGAAATAACACTTTCCTTACTCTATTTAGCTTGCTTTTTCTTTTGTGTGTGTTTTTTTAAAAACTAGAGTGAATATTTTCTTCTACCGCATGCTTTTTAAACCTGCTTAGGAATTTAACTGCTTAGCCAATTAACTGTCACCTTGAAATATTTTCCCAAGGTAAAGTGAGTGGAGTCGAGAAATGAGAGCATGGTGTCCTCTCTCTGTTCCTAGTACAATTAGGAATTCTTCTGACTGTGATCTCCTCACTAAAGGGTGATTGTAGTGGGACATTTCCCCTGTCACTTAGGAAAACACCGAGCCTCTGTCACATGATATCCTTTCCCATGGCAAGCAACCAAGGATCTTTAAGAGACTTGAACTAAGTTTTAAAAATGAGCTGTTTTGCATGGAAGGTCACACACTGGAAGGAGACTTTTGTGCTGGAGAAAAAGAGGAAAGTGCTGTCTCACACTTCCCATTGTGTTCCTCCTACCCTGGACATGGACTCTGACCAAAGACTATCAATCTCTCACTTATAAAGACGGGAACCATAATACCTTGTATTGATAGAGTGCCCATCTCTCAGGAGACCAGAACACTTCTGCAGGTATTACACACAGCATCCCTTTCAAAGATGATGTTTTGTATCTTTCCTGGACAACTCTCACCCTACTTCTCTCTTGTTTTCATAGTCTGTGGCTCCCTTAACTTTTAAAAAGTTTTCTCTGACTTTCCCCAAACATAGCCTCTTTATTTCTTCCACATTTGAGTGTGTGTGTGTGTGTGTGTGTGTGTGTGTGTGCATATACCTTTTAAAAGCCACATTGAGAAAAGAGTTCAGTTTTCAATCTTGGAGCCAGCCAGCCTATTGCCTGAAAGGATTTGATTTAAAATACAGAGAAAAATACTCTCTTCTAGGCTTTAAAGAATTTTAATTGAAATCTAAAAATTTAAAAGTATATTTAATTAAAACCGTAAACAATAAAAATTAATAAAACACTCACTTCCACTGACTTAAAAAGAGATTGTTCCTAACCTAATTATTTTTGTAACTAATCAAGGAAAGCTATAAAATTAATGAATTTTTAAGCCCTGTCTTTGGGCAAGATCTGGGGAGACTTCAGTAATTGATATATTGTAATTATAGTCAGATGACACTGTAAGATTCATGGAAAACAAATGGCAGTTTGTGACTATGATAGAGGATATAAAGGCACAATGATGATCATAATTTAACTGCCAATTATAGAGCATCTGCTACCAATAAGGTGTTGTACATGTCTTATAATCATTATAAACCTTAATATGTACTATAATCATTAACACAAACTACCAGGCATGATTATATCCATTTGCTAGATGAAAGAAACTGAAGTTCCAGAAGGTAAGAAATCTTTCTTGCTCTAAGTCACATAGCCATAAGTTTGTAGAACAAAGAATTGAAGTCTGGGTAGTTCCAAGACTTGTGATATTGGAAACACTGAAGCACCATGATGCTTCAGTGTTTGCAAATTGAAATGTTTACACTCTCAGTTCCTATGAGTGCTGTATACTTCAGGGCAGCAGCCCCTCCTGTGTGCATTAATTGCACACCTTAATTAAATTGTTAAGTGGCTATGTTCAGAGAAAAAATTAGGAAAAAATATGCATATGTGTGTATGTAATTATGAAAGATAATGTTTATTCTATTTTCATCTCTCCTTTTCTATCCATATCAATTCCTTTGTGTGTACTTTGCATAGACACACACACAGACAATATATAGGTAGATAATATAGAAATGAGTATTGAAGAGGTAATATGATTATTATCATCAGCAATAACTACCATTTTTTAAGCACCTATTAGGGGACAGACTCTTTACGTTAATTGTCTATAATCCTTACAATAACTTTGTGAGCTATTATGTAACCTGTAATTTATAGATGAAACAGAGGCTTAGAAAGGTTAACTGACCTTCCAATGGCCATATCACCAGTATATGGTAAAACCAGTATTTGAACTTAGGGCTTTCCAACTCCAAAATTTGCCCATTTCCATTGTTTGGGTAATCACAACTGTTTCATGTAGCAGACTTGCAGATATTGAGTTCTTGTGTCAGACTGCCTAACTTCAAATGCAAGACTCCACTACTTAATAGCCTATGGAAACCCAGTGATCCCACTTCTAGGAATATATCCCAAGAAACCAGAAACACCAATAAGAAAGGATATATGCACCCCTATGTTCATAGCAGCACAATTTACCATAGCTAAGATTTGGAAACAGTCTAAGTGCACATCAGCAGATGAGTGGATTAGAAAACTGTGGTACATCTACACGATGGAATACTATGCTGCTGTAAAAAAGAAGGAGTTCTTACCATTTGCCACAGCATGGATGGAACTGGAGAGCATTATGCTAAGTGAAATAAGCCAGTCAGAGAAAGATAAATACTACATGGTCTCACTCATTTGTGGAATATAATAAACAACATAAACTGATGAACAAGGACAGATCCAGAGACGGAGAGGCATTGACCAGACCATTGGGCCTCGGAGGGAAGGTAGGGGAGGGTGGGGGTAACGGGGAGAGATCAACCAGAGGACTTATATGCAAGCATATAGGCCTAACCAATGGACACGGGCAACAGGGGGGTGAGGGCATGAGTGGGGGGGGGGTAGGGAGTAACATGAGGATAAGGACACATATGTAATAAATTAATCAATAAAAAAATTTAAAAAAATATCCTGTGGAAATTTCTGTTTCCCATTTGTAAATTGGTGATGGTAATAGTATTTACACGCAAGATATCAAAAGTAGGCTTACAGTTGTCAGTACACAAATCACAAAGTTTATTCTTGTATTATTATTGATTATCTTTTGCATTATTTTCCATACAAACACCTGTAAACCTACTTTTGCTCCAGCTGGTATAAGGGTCAAATAAATAAATAAATAAATTGTTCTTTTAGTAAATTGAGGCCTGTCGTAAAATGTGCAGTTCTTACGTGTTCACTGCCATGTGTTTTGGCAATTTTATACACTCATGTAACTGCCACCCCAAACAAGAACACCCCCCTCATCCCAGAATGCCCCATGGAATGTTCTAGATCTTGTTCTATGCCCCAGCTTTTGGGCTTTGAGAAATCTTTCTTTTTCTGACTGCTCTGCCTCAATCTCTAGGGGTCAAAACCCTTAGTCCTCTTTAGTCAAAAGTGCCTGAATGGCTCCAAAGGGTTTTCTCTCAGCTCTCCTGCCCTGCCTCCCATCTTAGGAAAGGGGCTTTCTTGCATTTGGTGGAGACTCTGGTTCTAAGGGGGGATTTCTTGCAGCAATCTTACCTAACCTCCGGCCTTCTCTATGCTACCCGGGCACATGGCAAAGACTGAGAAAGTTTGGTGGGTGGATACAGGCTCCATTTATGCCCGGGGCCCCTCAGAATCCTAACCGGCAGTTAGGCAGCTATTAAAAATTCATTTAAGATTTGGCTTATTTCTCCTTACCTCCATCTGAAGTTGCTTTATCTTCCACCTGCTACTCTGCCAAGGGTGAGGCAGCTTTTGAAGGTTTTGTAACTTTTTGGAATTTATTTAGGTTTCTTTGCATCCTCATCTCTGGTGGATGTTTAAAAATTACGATTTTATAGCTTATCCAGCTGTGACGGTATCCTGCAACTTCCTGAATCTTAACTAATTAGTTTTGATATTTTACAATAATGCATATAATACAGACAAGTGAAGCTCAAATGCATCCTGTCCATCATAAAATAAGATTGTAGATTACTGCAAATCTGACTCACCCACTGCAGGGAAGAACCCTAAATGAGTACATGTTCTATTTAACCTTGAGACTTTTATTTATAGCTCTACCATCATTTATATATATTTAAAAAGGCATATGTTTTACTGGTCTATACTCAAAGAGAGCAATGTAGAATTTTTAATTTTTCAATTTTTTTTCCTTATTGTATTACCCAGAAAAGCATATCATGTCTACATGGAGATGCTGTTAATCATGGGACTAAGAAGTATTATAGTCTCATATATTCTGCTTGGCAGCCAGACATGAAAGCAAAAGTGCTTTGATTTGATATACCTTCTGGGCAATTCGAGGAGTGAACATTTATTTCAATAGGAAATGGAATGTCATGTTTATCTTCTTGTGCGTAGCGTCCTTATGCTTTCCTCTCATTGAGAAAGATAAGCGCAGGAACCACTCTGTCCTTAAATCTCCTTGAAGATTACATGTGCCTAGTGCCTAGTTTTTAAACTATTATGGAACATGTAAAACGTGCACTAAATCAGAGAGCATAGCACAGTGGAACCCACATACATATGACCTAGCTTCAGAGACTGTCAACATTCTGCCCATCCTCTCTCATCTAGCCCCCACTTTTGTGATTGGAGAGGATGCTATAGTATTTTAAATTTTGAAATTAATATTTTAGTATACATTCTACTTTTAAGAGTTAGAAACAAATCCACTTAATAGAAACAGGGTCTCCAGAAGATGAGATCCAGGTAAATAGACCAAAATCTTCTTCTATGAGCTTGACCTCAGTTAAGACCACCAGAAACTTGATCCCATTTCCTTTACTTTTTTTTCTCACTTTCCATTTACACGGACAATCTGCTTTGACCCACCTGGTCCACTCACTGGCATTCCCTCCACATGGTGAGAACTCAGTAAGGTTTGAATAAAGGGCTTAATGGATAGGTGAATGAAGCATTGTGTGTAAGCAAGAAAAGATCTTCATCGTTTCACGTACGTGTGTATAGTTTTCACTTCAACCTGAATCTCTGTAAGAAAATCAATAAAACTTCCTGTTGGGATTGTTTGAATGCAGCCTACCTCTTTGGGAACGCTAGTTATAAAAAAGCATTCTGGCCTGGCTGGGTGGCTTAGTTGGAGCCTCATCCCATACACCAAAAGGTTGTGGGTACATACCTAGGTTGCCAGTTCGATCCCAGGTTGGGCCCATATACAGGAAGCAACTAATGGATATTTCTCACTCACGTTGATTTTTTTTTAAATTCTCTTTCTCTCTCTTTCTCCCTTCCTCTCTCTTTAAAATAAAAATCAATAAAAACATATCCTCAGGTGGCAGTTGAAAAAAAAAAAAGTCATTCTGCCTATATAAAAGACCCTAACTGAAATTATAGTAAATATTTGCTGATTTTAAAACAAAGAAATCTGTTACCTATCATGACCTCTAAACTTTAAATGTATTCTGCTGAAAACATCCATTTGCAGAAATTTGAAAAAACAAAATGAGACATGGTTAATCAACTCTCAGGAGCAGAATTTGATAAAGGAGTAATTATGCAATTCAGGTGTTTTTAAGTTGAAGCTAATATAGAAAAAATATTTCAGGGAATGATTTAGAGTTTATTTTTGTTGTTGCTGTAAAAGAGAAGTGTGAGCACTTTACATGTTGAGTTCTATAAAAATATAGCACATTTCCTGTTCAGAAAGTCTTCTTTTATATGTATGATCTTTTTTGACTAGATCACTCCTATTAACATATCAAGAGAATTCATTGTACAGTAAATGGTACTGAGGATGCATTTGGCTTGAGGTAGAATTCTTGCTTCCAAAAGACAGGAGAAATTTCCCTTTCCACACTTATTTGCAAGGTATCCTCAAATAGCTCTTCTGTTTTCACATAATATACCTATTAGCCCTGTACCCAAGAGGAAGTCCAATATCATGGTGTTGGCAGATTCAGTATCTGGTGCGGATGTGCTTTCTACCTCATAGACAGCCTTCTCCTCACTATGTCCTCATATGGCAGAAGGGGCAAGGGAGCTCTTTGGGGTCCCTTTTATAAGGACACTAATCCCATTCATGAAAGCTCCACCTCCATCACATAGGGAATTAGGTTTCAACATTGAGTTTTAGGGGAGCCCAAATAGTCAGTCAGAGCACCCCATTAGTGTGGTCAGTAATTGGCTTCAGGAGGGTATTACATTCCAGGTGAGGTAGCTCTGACTTAGGCTGAAGGTAGTTCTCTAGAGAAGGAGGGAGCTGTGAGCTGGTTGAGGCTAAAACTCAGAGCAGCTGGGGGTGGGCCCACTGGCCTATTCATTACTTTAGCAAAAGGATTCTCCTGAATAGCAGAAACAGAAAATAGGAACAGGAGTGAGCTGTTCTTGAGAAGCACAACACTGACAACATGACAGCAACTTAGGAGAAGGAAATTTGAAAATTGACCTTTGAGTTTGAGGCCAAGTAATGTAGGGATGGATGGATATCCCATACACAACACCACAGCCCATTACCGCACATTCCAATGAGAGATGCTCATGATGCAGACCTGGAGTCAACAAGAAAAAAAGCTATATTTTATCAGGATGTACATTGAAAAAGCAGGGCCCATCAACATTTTATAGTTATATTCCTTAATTTTCCAACTCTAGTTATTTAGAAAACAAATAGCTCATTTGTGAAAATGTTGGGTAAATGAGTAGTTAACAATATACTAACTTTTAGTGCATTAAAAGCTTCGAGCATAAGGAGCTGCTCACTACAAAAGTAAGTACTTTGGAACAACCGTGTTTCAGACTCTCACATATTGAGACAGGATATTGTGCCTCAGTTTACTCTCAGAAAGACTGATGGGAAAGAAGGACTTGGTTTGTTTCGGTTGAACAAATAGGTGACTGTCAGGTTGTAGCTCAAAGTAGGTAACAGACTGTGAGATTCTCATTGTATTTTCAATAACTGCCAGCCTCCTGGGCACCCGTACTTGTTATCCCATTAACATCTCACCCAGTGTCACCCTTCAAAGGTGGCCTTCAGACTGTTGTACAGTGACTTTTAGCATAATCCCTATAGGCCCCTCAAGTAGAAAAGCTTTTGATATGTCAGTGTGCTCTAGAAAAATGTTAATGTTTTTCTTCTTCAGTACTACAATGCTACCTTTGACTGGGCACTTTTGTCGAAGAAGGAGTGTTTGAAACATGGAGGCCAGCTCATGGGGAACAACTGCGATTTTGTTCCTGATGTCACACTCATGTCTTTCATCCTCTTTTTGGGCACCTACACCACTTCCATGGCTCTGAAAAAATTCAAAACCAGTCGCTATTTTCCAACCATGGTAAGTACTTGAGCTTTAAATAATTTTCATTGAATTTACACTGTATCAACAATGATACAATTTTATGTAAGGAATAGGGCACCTGTAATTCAACCTTTCCAATGTAACTTTGTGCATTTAAAAATTTGCTTTCCAGTCTTTTTCCATATGCATATGTATTTTTAAAATAATTATAGTCCAGCTTTGAAAAACCTTCCATGGATTTTGCTCACATAATTCTGTCATAAATTCTGACTGTCATAATTCTGATTGTACTAAAATGAAAAAATGGAGCATGTTGTATGTAAAAATTCACAAGTTAAAGAAAATATCCTTTAAATCCATAGTGTTTGAGTATGGAAGCAAAAACTCATTTCATATTAATCAGGAATTTTGATGTAGAATTTCTTGCTCATCAGATGTCCAATTGAGTATTTTAGTAGTTAAATTATGAGCCGTGGGAGAAAACTTCAACTGTGTTGTTACACAAGTATTGGCATAAGATATGAGTGTTATCTTAGCCAAACTTTCCATCCCATAATAATGAATGTCATGGTATGGAAAAACAGATGATTGAGTTGAGTTGTGCAGACATCCTGTCTCCCATTAATATGCTTGGTTGAACATAAAGTCACAACTGTGATTCTTTGAGACAGTACAAGATAAGATCAACATTTAGATAATGGCATTTTGTGTGTGTGTGTGTGTGTGTGTGTGTGTGTGTGTGTGTGTGTTTTTACCTGAAGAATAAAACTAAGATAATCCTTTGTTTCACAGTTCAGTTCTCAGTGTTTAGGATGTCAGTAATTCTTAGGTAATTTTGATAATACCTGATTTTTATCAGTGAATTGCTCTATACTGGAATTTCATGAAATCTTTTCTCTCGTGTTTTGTGTACAAGGAGTGGAAGAACTTAAAAGCCATGAGATGCATTTGAGGAAGTTCCTTTTTTCAATGCCTAGGAAATGAAACTTAAAATTAATACTTTGACTGTTTTATTCTTCTTATAAAATTGAAAATAAACGGGTAGGTTGGTCATTGTCTTAATCTATTTGAGGTACTGTAACAGAATGCTATAGAATGGGAGGCTTATAAACAGCAGACATTTATTTCTTACAATTCTGGAGGCTGGGAAATCCAAGATTAGAAGGCATCATGGGTGAAGGCCCTGTTTCTGGTTCATAGCCATCGCTTTTTTGCTGTGTCCTCATGTGGTCAAAGGACTAGGAATCAGTTTGGTGTCTCTTTAATAAAAATACTAATCTCATTCATAAAGGCTTCACCCTTATGACCTAAGCACAATCCAAGGCTCCACCTCCTAATACCATCTTCTTTGGGGGTTAGGATTTCAATATATGGACTTTGGGGGGGACACATATTCAGACCACTGCTATAAATGAAATGTTTTGAACTAGTTTACCCAAGGAATGAAAAATTTCCACAAAATTGAAATGTAGAAAGAAGTATTCAACTTAGTCTGCCTAAAATCGAAATCACAAACTGGTGGTCCCCAGGCAGAATTCAGCCCCCAGCCATTCTTTGTTTGTACACACACATACACACACTTCAGGCCTTAGGTGTCTGTACTTCGCAGGTAGTTATTGTCCTCACAACTCTGTATTGTCTAAGACTTGACTGCTTCACACATTCAGATTAACTGCCTGTCCCTGAAGATGTTTCATCTTGTAACACCTTCACACCCTGGGAAATATGCTTACTTGACCTACCTCTTCAATGGTGGAAGTTTCCTGTAGAACAGATTCTTGAGGAAAGGTCTTTTAGGATGATTTCTTCTCTATTGAGGCTTTTTTCTTTCTTAATTATTAATTCACTGAGCAACTTGGGAATCATCATCCACTTTCCAAAGTCTGATATTTAGACATAGCTGGTGGAAAAGTGAAAACTTTACGAAGCAATTGTAATTAACAGAATAAACTAATTTCAACCTTAAGATGAATGGAGATATTTTAACTGTCTATATAGACATTACCTTTTTTCTTCCAGCAATAATTTCAAAATTGAAAATAGCTCTTCAGATTTAAAGAAATTTTTCCCTTAGAAGAATCCAAGCAGGTAATTTCTCAGCCATTGATAAATGCTCTTGAAAAAGTCATGAATATATGAAAATAGAATAATGATGCATTTGTAGTTACAGTTCCTGTTAAGAAGATTCCAACATAGTTGAGAATTGTATATACCAAATCATACAGTAAACAGGAGGAGAACACATGTTATTTCTAAGAAGCAATGTTCAAGTGTGTGGGCTTTCAGACTTTCCTCTTCTTACTTCACATGTGCAGCTAAATAGTTGCAATACATACATAAATTCACACATATATACATGAATAATAAGTAAAGAAAATTGCTTGTTCATTTGCCAACATATGTTTTTAGTTAAGCCAGGGTGGGGAACGTCCGGCATTCAAGCCTTATAAGGCCCATGAAATCCTTTGGTCTGGCCATGCCAAGGCATTAGGGGTGAGTTAATTAATTGTTTGATCAAATATAGCAGGCTAATTTTTAAGTTGATAATTTTGTATGGCCTGAGAATGATGTTATAAATATCTAAATAGCCGGTGGCAGAAAAAAGGTTCCCACCCCTGATTTAAGCTGTCATTTAGAAGGATGGTCTCAATAGAGTAGGAGCAGGTAGGTTTATAGATTCTTACACTTACATATTATATTCTACAATTAAAACTTATATGCTTAAACATGATAAATTAGATAGTCCTTGATTGTTGACACAATAACTAAGCCTGTTACTACTTTCTCACTCACACCGACAAGAAACCTCTGAAATCTCCAAATGTTAATGCTAGATGGCAGTACCCTGGTCTTACAAAACACCCTATTTTTCTGTAGCCTTCACAGTCATGTCTCTTTTGTACTCATTTCAAAAAAATTGTATGAATTATTAATCAGTTAAGACTGTAAACTGCTGGAAAGCTGTTGTGCTTCTATTTTATTCCTCACATATCCATTAGCAAAATGCTGGATGCTAAGATTAGGTACTTAATACTTGACTCATGGAAACCAGTCAAGTAGATACATGCTGCATTCTAAGAAAAGAGCACAGATGTAGGAACACAAAAGCTGTAGAGTCCAGTTCCAGCACTGCCATTGGCTCACATGTACCCTTTCCTAGCAAACTGTGGACTTAGGTGAGGTTAAGTTTAGGGAAACCACAGGGAGAGTGTAGTGTCCAGTGCTCATTGCAGTGGGGTTGTTACTATCCCAGCCCAAAGGATGTGGAAAGGAAGTGGCTGCTGGAACCTGGAAGAAGAGAGAAGGGTAGAGAGAGCTGTCTTGAGAGGCACTGTGACCTTGGATAGAGAGATGTAGCCAGTGTGAGGCAGCCTCACTGGGATACAGTTAAGGGAATCAGTACTCTGATCTCTCGCTTTCCTCTGTTGGCCTGTCCAGATTGCCATGGACTAAATCCATCTGGAATCCATAGAGCAAGGGAGCTCATTGTAGACCACATAGGTCAGCCTCACAATGCAGAGAGCATGGTGGAAAGGCGTAGAACATAGATCTGTTTTGACAAAAGATGGTGTCCATTGCATTTGCCTCTCCAAGTTTTATTTTTAAGTCAAATTAACCTCATTACAGTCCCCTAAATTATCCCGCTATAATCTCTTTCCTTTACACTTGTACTTCTGTTTCCCTAGTTCAGTTTCTCATTACTTTGCCTAGGCCAGAGTCAGTTACCCATGCAATCCATCAGTATGAACACTTAAGAGGAAAGAATTCTCCTTTGCTAGTCTGGCTCTCAGGAATTCAATTTGTATATAAGTCACTTCCAGAGAATCCGAATACTTAGTAGGTGTGGGTGGAATTTCAGTATTCCATCGTGCCTCTGTTCTTGTTGGAGGGATGCATCAGTCTGCTGTCTCACACAGTTACTGGTCTGTTACATCAGCCTCAAGTCTTTAGTCAAAGTCTTTCAGTATCAAAACATCACAGCTTAATCTGTGATCTTCTGTGGCATATGGCTCAGGGCATTAAACATAAAATATTCTTCCAGAATCCCATTCCAGCAAGTGACCAAAAGCATGGAACAAAAATGCCATCATAGCACATCTGCCGGCAAAATGAAAGCAGAAGCTTAAAGACAGTGTAGAACTGTGATGAGTAGAATTTATAAAACTATAGAGCCCTCAGAATTAGGCAAAATTATTGGAACTTTGATATGTCAAATTCAGTGTGGCCAGCTGATGTATATAATTGACATGAAAATGCCGTTCTTAAGGAACTGTTTAATTTTCTCTTTTTCCTCTTAGACTAAGTAATTTAAAACCTCACATGAATTAATGTAATGGTAAGATTTTTATAGATAATGCATCCTAGTTGTAATAGTTATTTAAATAAATAAAATCAGTAGGTTCCAGATGAAATTTATGAAACCTATGTTTTATTTAGATGAAACTTGAGCAGAACGTTCTTTGATTCTGCATTTAGAAAACAAAACAGTATTCTATATCATATAATATCATATAATACTTTCAACATGGAAAAAATATTGTAACTTTGTGCTTGACACAATACTAGCACAAGTTAATTGATGGACCTAACACATAGTTGGAACTTTATATTTGTTGAATAAGTTAGATTTTTGGATTTTGAAATGATAATGAGTCATTTTGATCCTTTTGCTACATTCATGGCTATGATCTCCTGTGGGGGTCACACTTTGGTGCCTTCTTTGACTTAAGTAAGCTGATGGTGGTCGATGAGGACTGGATTTATGGATGACTTCAGAAATGTCAGTGAAAACATGAGCATTTTAGTTAGGTGATGCATTTGGTTTTTATCCATATAATACACAGGAGAGACTAGAATTCCACAATTGACTTATATTTTTGGAAACATGTTTTTTGTTTGACATTTTGGCCTGTGACAATTCTATTAAAGTTTGATGTGTTTAGTTTATAAACAACTCTATAAAAATCAGGTGACACCTCTATTCTATTTCCTTTTTTTCTCAGAAACTTTCTGATGAATGGTAAAAGCTGTCAAAC